CACAATCTAATAACATTGACAATTCATCAGATAATGAAATTCAGCTTTATTACACCCATTTTTTAAATTTTAGGGAGTTAATTATAAAAAACAAAAGACTTCAAAAGTTCAAACTAAACTTGACAATTTTTTCAAAGCAGGATTACCTAAAGCAAAGCGCCTCAAGATCAAACATTACCGCTACACCACAATGGGAGTATCTGGATATATCATCATCCAAAGACAATTAAATAGGAAAACTTTTTTCTGTTCTTTTACTGAACAGCTACTATCTGGCACTGCAATAGGTATTAGGCTGACTCCATTTCTGCTCTAATGATGCTTTTCATTGTCTAGTAGGGAAGACAGGCATAACATAGTTTCATAAAATAAATTTAAATAAAATTTAAATTTTGTTTTTAAGAACACTGTTTTATTTGTTTAGTTAAATATAATTAAAATGCATTTTCGGGAAAATGTTTAAGAAAAAGAAAAATAATGCATTTTGAAACTGAAATAAAATAAAAATAAGCATGTTTAAAATTTACATTAAGAAATAGAATTTTAAATCTGGCGTGATTAGAAGAGACTAAATGAAAATATGCTAAGTGAAAAAGGTCTGTCAAAAAAGACCAGATATATTACATGATTATATTCATATGAAATGTCCAGAATAAGCAAATATAGTGAGACAGAAAAGAAGATTACAGTATGCTTAAGGCTTGGTGGGATCTAGAGGTAGAGGAGTGACAGCAAATGGGTACAGGTTTCTTTCTGAGATGATGAAAATAGGCTAAAGTTGACTATGATGATGGTTGCACATATTTGAATATACTAAAAACAACTGAATTATACACTTTAAATGAGTGAACTGTATAGTATATGAATTACATTTTAATAGTTTTGATTTAAAAAAACTAAAGAACAGTTTGAAGAGGAAGATGGGCAATTTGCGGAGAGTTTAAGATGACATCAATAGCTAACATGATGATATTACTAGTGGCCCAGTGCACGAATTCGTGCACCTTGAAAGGAACTGTGGGCTGCAAGGCTGCAGTGGGCACAGGGGCAGGTCTCAGCCCATCCTCCGTACCCCCGCCCGGCCCCTCCCACTGCGGCCCCCAACCCTCTGTCTGTCGGCAGCCCCACTCCCGCCACTGCCACTCCCATGCGCTGACAGCGCGGAGCGATTTGGGGCTGATGCCAGCTGCAGGTGCAAGCAGGGTCAGTGCTGTCAGCAGGTAAGAGTGGCGGCTGCTGCCCCTAGCGCCCCTCAGGAGCAGGGGCAGGTGGAGAAGCCCTCAGGGGCAATCAGGGCTGACAGCCGCTGCTCACACCCGCTGATGGTGCTGAGCGATCGGGACTGACACCGAGCACCGGCAGCGGGTGCAAGTGGGGCCTGCACCGGAAGTGGGTGTGAGCAGTGGCTCCAATGCCGGCAGCAGGTGTGAGCAGCTACTGCCGGCACTGATCACCCCTCAGGAGCAGGGAAAGGCGGAGAAGCGCTGAGGGGCGATCGGGGACAGCAGCAGCCACTCGGACCCACTGATGGGTCCGTGCACCGTCAGCGGGTGCGAGCAGCAGCTCTGGTGCCAGCAGCGGGTGCAAGCGGAGCCAGCACCAGCAGCAGGTGCGAGCGCTGGGCGGGACCGCAGCGCGCAGGAGTAAAGAATTTTCAGTAACCACCAGAGGCTGGTCCTAATGACAGTGACCGGCGCCCTGCCTTGGTCTGGCGCCCCTGCTTACCTGCTCCACCATCCCGCCACAGCTGACACCCACCATGTTTCACGCTCTGCCGCCTGCTGCCTACTCCCGCCATGTTCCGCACGCCCCCTAGTGGCCAGCGCACATCAGAGTGACTGTTTATTCAGTTGTTCTGCTGTTCGGTCTATTTGCCTTTTATTATATAGGATTTTTATCTCTAAATATGTAGCCTCCTTGTTCTTACCACTAAAGGCTTTATACCAACCAGATTTTAACTCACAAAAAGAAATGTAAATATCCTTGTATTAACTAAGAAAGAGTGAGAAAGATGGGCAAAATTCAGTGGAACCAGGGGAAAAGGAGAAAAGAGTAAAGGTAGAGGGAGAGAGGAGAAGTCAAGGAGGGCAGAAGCCTCAGTAAGGAGTGTCTGGCAGCATGGAGGAGGAACATTTCCCAGCATTCCCCATTCCGAGGGAAAGGAGTGGCTGTGTGGAAACAGACTGGCCTCAAAATTAATAGAGCTGTTCACTATTGTGTGTTTTTTTTTCCCCCACTGGAAGGTACACAAAGAATAACAGAAGAAACACTGGTGAGGCAATTCCCTATGATGGCCATCAGAGGATACCATGAGTCCAGGATGGTCTAGTTGCTTTCAAACTTTTCAGAAAACGGCTAAGGCATTCTATATAATAAATGGCTAATATGCAAATATACCGAACGGCGGAACGACCAGTCGCTATGATGCGCACTGACCACCAGGGGGCAGATGCTCAATGCAGGAGCTAACCCGTGGTGGGCAGTGTGCTCCCACAGGGGGAGCACTGCTCAGCCAGAAGCCGGGCTCATGGCTGGTGAGCGCAGCAGCGGTGGCGGGAGCCTCTCCTGCCTCCGTGGCAGCACTAAGCATGTACGACTGCCAGCTTAGGCTTGTTCCTAAGCGTTGGACATCCCCTGAGGGCTCCCGGACTGCGAGAGGATGCAGGCTGGGCTGAGGGGGTGAACCACCCTGAGTGCACGAATTTAGTTCACCAGGCCTCTAGAGGAAAAGTAATTTGCTAACAGTCCTTGGTAACTCTATATAGACCATTTACAATGTCCTATTTCTAAGATTACCTAGAAATTCCCTTTTACCAAAATATAATTTATAAACGATATTAGGAATTATATTTTACCTATATTTAAAATAAGTTAAATAAGTTTTTTCTAGATGGACTGATAGAGTATGGTAGTAACAGCATCTTAGATCCATGCAATAATTCTTTACAAAACCACTAAAATCATGTTTACAGTTATCTACATTTAATACTTATAAACCCAGGACTGTGTCAGCGGATACAAAAGATAAAAAGTAGAAATTTAGTCTCTATCTATCCCTTAGGAGCTTAAAACCTTAGTAGGGAGACAAGGGGTACATGAGGTAACTTTTCCACCATTCAATGCAATAAGTGACAGGAGTTCAGAAAAAAAAGAGATCACTAAAATGCTGAGGTTAGTCTGGCAAAGCCTCCTAAAAAGTCAGCATAGCATTTAACTGTAAAGTTTAACTAAAAAAAACCAAGGACATTAGAGGCAGGGGAACTACACCTGAGCAATGTCAGAAGGGAATGTGTACAGCAGGTGATATGAACCATGAAAGACCTAACTAGGTTAGGGAATGAAGAGTTTGAAAAGGAAAATTTAGCATCTGTAGAAATCCTTGACTCTAACAAATGGGAAACCATCTAATAAATAACAGTCTAACATAGTTTCATAAATAAGGAAGTAACAATACAAGTTTATGTTTTAAAAAGCTTTAAAACTTTTATTTACTCATTCAACAAACATTTACTGAAGAGCTACTATCTGGCACTGCAATAGGTATTAGGGTGACTCCATTTCTGCTCTAATGATGCTTTTCATTGTCTAGTAGGGAAGACAGGGATAAATAAAGGGTTCAAAGTTTCTAGAAGACAGCCCTAGCCGGTTTGGCTCAGTGGATAGAGCGTCAGCCTGGGAACTAAAAGGTCCCGGGTTTGATTCCGGTCAAGGGCACATGCCCGGGTTGTGATTCTCTCATCATGGATGTTTCTATCTCTCTCTTCCTCTTCCTTCCTCTCTGAAATCAATAAAAATATATTTTTTAAAAAAAAAGTTTCTAGAAGACAGAAATGAAAAATTACTCTATTTCATATAATCAAGTATCATAATCAAATGCTTTATGAATTTCAGAGAAACCTGATCAAATCTAGATCAGGTAAAATTTTCTGAGGAAGGAAAGTCTGAACTTAGCTCTAATGAACAAACAGAAGTTAGGCAAAGATGTGGGAGAAAAATGTTTCAGTGGTCAGAGGAACAACAGTGCTAAAAAACAGGCTTCTTTGAGGAATGAGCAGAAGGGAAGTATAGTTGGAGGAAAATAAGCCTGGAAGAAGGATTAGGACCAAGAAGTATGAGGTGAGGCTTGGAGAAGCAATCAAGAACCAGAGCATGCACAATCTTGTAGTCTTCATTAAAAATTGCAGTCTTTGCCCTGGCCAGTATGGCTCAGTTTGTTGGAGCATTGCCCCCTGCACCGAAGGGTCACAGGTTCGATACCCAATCAGGGCACATACCCAGGTTGCGGGTTCAATCTCCAGTCAGGGTGCATATGAGAGGCAATCAATCAATGTTTCTCTCTCTCTCTCTCCCTAAAATCAATAAAACATATCCTCAGGTGAGGATTCAAAAACAAAAACAAAACAAAAAACAAACCTGCAGTCTTCATTCTAAAAGAAAAGAGAATCCATTGAAAGAGAAGAAAAGAGTGGAGGGACTTCAGATAACAGAGATCAAGTAAAATTTCATACCATTTAAGTCAAGTATCTAGAGAGAAGCCACTTGGAGGTTTTTCAGTTTAGGGGAAACTCTCCAATATTCACCTAGCATAGAATGGGCAATGTATTTTACAGCATAGAAAAATAATGGCATCTACGCTCATTAGGAAGGGAAATGCTTCTTACCTTTGGATTGCTGGCCTGAGGAAAAAAAGGTAAAGTATACCTTGATAGGCTTCTCAAGGGATATTTATATTTATTTTTAAAAATCAAATAAATTCATCACTTACAAAGACGATATATAAATTAATCATGAATATACCACATTTTGCACAGAGGCTTTGAAATCAATAAAATCTGACTTTTAATTTAAACCTATTTTAATTGTGATTATCTTTTTTAAAAACCAAAAAAATTTAATAAAAGCCCAAGAAGTATTTAAACATTATACTTTGAGAAAATCAATTTACTGAAATTGATTGAAATAACTGGACTAAATTCTACTATAGCTCCTATCATACTAACTGTATCTTGGTGCTTTGGTGAAGAGGGAGAAGATTCATTTTCAGGAAAGCAGGGTTTTGAGGCAGGTGGAGATTCCTATAAGAAATTAATGAAAAATGTTATTCTAGCTTATATAATTTTATTTCTCCTTCTGCTCATAGTATGAGAGTTTACTAGAGGAAACTAGGAAAATTATTGTCCTTCTATATTGAGCTCCGAAAATAATATGGTACTGATTTGAAAACTACAGATATCATAAAGTTTACGAAATATGGCATATTTTATACCAATTAGTTAAATTTAAATACCACATGTAGAATTACTCAAAAGAAATGATGCACGTTGTCTTAAATCATGATGTCTCATCAGCTTAAATTAACCATGTTTAAAATAGATAAAATCTAAACACTTGTGATAAAAATGTAATAGTTACCATACTAATTTGCTATTGGTATGGTAGGTATGAATACCCAGGATTAGGCAAGGAATGGTCACAGGAATTATTTGATAACTGCGAGAATGAGAACTTTATTTTAGTAAATAGTTATGTTAGAAATTAAATTGTTATTAATATTTAAAGTAATTTACAGCTAACTTTCCAATTATTAGAAATAAGACTTTTAAAATACAAAACAGACACCTCCAATATAAAGATTAATAACTCACCAGAAAAAAAATTTAATTTCTAAGCCTATAAGAATACAATAGGGCAAACCAATAATGTACATTTCTAAAGCAATTCTGCTTTGTCAATTATTAAAAATGGTATATGATTTCTTCCACAGATGTTTATAAGACTATTCATGGAGGATAAGATTGAAAAAACATTTTTAAATTTTTTTGGTATCAGCAGCCAAATTTAAATGGATTTAAATTTTTTCCATTCCCCTAGATCATCGGTTCTCAACCTGTGGGTCGCGACCCCTTTGGGGGTCGAATGACCCTTTCACAGGGGTCGCCTAAGACCATTGGAAAACACATATATAATTACATACTGTTTTTGTGATTAATCACTATGCTTTAATTATGTTCAATTTGTAACAATGAAAATACATCCTGCATATCAGATATTTACATTACGATTCATAACAGTAGCAAAATTACAGTTATGAAGTAGCAACGAAAATAATTTTATGGCTGGGGGTCACCACAACATGAGGAACTGTATTAAAGGGTCGTGGCATTAGGAAGGTTGAGAACCACTGCCCTAGATGCTTTGAATAATTACAGGAAAAGAGAATTTTAAAAAATCACTGCCAATGCCTATTATTAATTTTCCTATAAAACCAAATAATCTCTTTGAACATTCATCTTCACATCTGTATCAGTCTACTCTTCTATGCTTATGAAACTGGATAAGGAACTGGAAATTTGTACTAAATCACAAAACAAACTGTTAAATCAACATACAAAACCTGCTAACTCAGGGAAGTCTTCAGATTTATATCCTATATAATTTGTAAACAGAGAAACTAGGCAGTATTGAAAGTTTAACCCTTGGAGGGACAACCTTCCAAATCAAACATCCTGAGTCATCTATACTATTAGTGGAGAACACATTAAAATTATATTAAACATATCTTTACAAAGAGAAATAACACTTAATGCTCAAATTTCAGTTTAGCCCCCTTTAAGTACTTTGAGAGCTTCACATTTTTCACTTTTTAATTTCTTAACTTCTAAAAAAGTATCTAATATTGAAACAGTCTGAGGAAAGGATTAGTAACTCACACACTAGAAAATAAGCAACTGAGTAAAATGAACAGTAATTATAGTTCATTTTTCATAGCATATCAGTCCTACAGAAATAAAAACCACATCAAATGGAGTAATTATGTGTAACTATTTTAACTGTTATTATAAAGAAACAATTTTACATTTATACATTTACTTATGTATACTATAAGTGTATATGCATGTATAAATATATCTTAAATTTCTCCAAATAGCAGGTTTTAGTAAAAGCTATAAGCAGACAGAAACAAACAGATGCACTACATAAAACACACAACATACACACACCTCCCTTCTCCACAGTTGTCTGCCACATCCTAACATTTGCTACATAGTAGTATGTTTCTATTTACAGTTAACCCCTTTATATTAGTCAGCTACACTGTTCTGGTATAGTCCATCTTTCATAGCCTCAAATCATTAAAAGGTATTATTATATGACTAGAAGCCTGATACACGAAGATTCATGCAAGAATAGGCCTTCCTTCCCCTGGCTGCCAGCACCGCCTTCGCTCAGGCAGGAGCCACCTTTCCACCTTCGCTCTGGCCCACACCCGCCTTTCTGCCTTCCCACACTGCCCAGAGGCCCGAAGCAACTGGGGGCGTGTGGAAGGCCTGCGTCGTCTCCATGGCGATGACGCAAGTGTCCCACCCCACCCCCAGCCGCTCGGTGCGTGCGTGCTGCCCATAGGCCCACTATCTTTATCGGGTTAATTTGCATACTCACTCCTGATTGGCTGGTGGGCATCATGAAGGGATGGTCAATTTACATCTTTCTCTTTTATTAGTGTAGACTAGAGACCCAGTGCATGAAATTAGTGCACGGGAGGGGGGGTCCCCTCAGCCCAGCCTGCACCCTCTCCAATCTGGCCTGGTCGCCCCTAACTGCCCCCCCTGCCAGCCTGGTTGCCCCTAACTGCCCCCTCCCTGCCAGCCTGGTTGCTCTTAACTGCCCCCCCTGCCGACCTGGTCAGCCCATGCAGCCTACTGTTCAGTCGTTTGGTTGTCCCTCACTAACCCCCCTGCTGGCCTGGTCGTAGGCAGCCATCTTGTGTGGACATGAGGGTTAATTTGCATATTATATAGGATGATAATAAAAAGAAGAGTTTACATGGTGAAGCAATTATCTGTGATTCTATTTATAAAGGACTAGATGCCCAGTGCACGAAATTTGTGCAAGGGGGAGAAGAGGTCCCTCAGCCGGGACTGCACCCTCTCACAATCTGGGACCCCTCGGGGCATGTCCGACTGCCGCTTTAGGCCCTGCTGGATCAGGCCTACACCGGTAGTCAGACATCCCTCTTGCAATCTGGGACTGCTGGCTCCTAACCACTCGCCTGCCTGCATGATCGCCCCTAACCATTCTGCCTACCTGCTTGATCGCCCCTAACCGCTCGCCTGCCTGCCTGGTCGCCTGAATGCCAAGAACCTACAACCAAGATTACTTTACCCAGCAAACCTATCATTCAGAATTGAAGGTCCGATAAAGAGCTTCACAGATAAGAAAAAGCTAAAGGAGTTCATCACCACCAAACCAGTATTATATGAAATGCTGAAAGGTATCCTTTATGAAGATAAATAATTTGATGAACAGAATAAACTGGTGAATATAATAGAATCAGGGACACAGAAAGGGAGTGGACTGACAATTCTCAGGGGTGAAGGGGTGTGGGGGGGTGCAGGAAGAGACTGGACAAAAATCATACACTTATGGATGAGGACAGTGGCAGGGGTAAGGGCAGAAGGTGGGGTGTGAACTGGGTGGAGGGAGCTATGGAGGGAAAAAAGAGGAACAACTGTAATAATCTGAACAATAAAGATTTAATTTAAAAAAATAAACTACATACAAACATATTCTTAAAAAAAAAAGAAAGAAAAATTAAAAAGGAGTACAAACTTTTAAGTCGACATCACCAAAATAATTATTCTTTTTGTTCCTTAATAAGAGGCAGTGGAGTTGGTTCAACAATGGCTTTTACATTAGAGTGTTATACATGGTCTGAAGGAGCTTTCTATATACCCTCATTGTAATTTGGTTTTTGGAGTAAATGACTTTTTCTATTAAAATCTCTAGGAATCTTATCTACTCAGATTAATCTCAATGTAATGTATCTTCAAGCATTCTTCAATGGCACAAACCCCAGAATTTCAATCCTTTAATATGCCATCGACATTCAACCTTACAAAGCAGAAATTAGAAACTTATCTACTACTTTCATTGTTATTCTTTTATTCCATCTTATGAGTAAAATGTTTCTACAGTTCTACAAAAGTCCATCTTTTAATTCAACAAAGACAACTTTACAGCCACTTGTACTACTAAAAAAATTACTTGTTTTGACTGACTGAGATAATTTATAAAGGACTTTAGGACTGAAATTATCCATATATAGAGAACTATGCCTTAGGAGAGTTCATTCTGTTTTCAGTAGTACACCTAAAAATGCAGGAAACCTGTTAATTATGTCAAAAGAGAAGCCTGATAGTAAAATTTTTAAAAAGTCTCCAACAACAAATATCTTTCTAATATAGTTTCCTTAATATTAGAGTGTTAGCACCACCCTCACATTTTAACATTAGTATACCTAATGTTCTGCAAATCTGTACTGATTTCCTACTCCATCCCCAAAATGAAGCCACAATGAAAAGATGTAACACAAGGAAGTTTAAAACTTTATGGCTTTTCCATTCTGAAGTTTGCATCAAAATTCATCTCCTATTTGAAATCGAGAACATTACTTCTCAGATTGATAAAAGAAGCACTTTATGCAAAGAGCATTTAGGGAAACATAGGGTGTAAGATTCCAATCATTCCTGATATGAGAAAAATTGTCTGTACTATAGAGATTAAAGACAAACAATTAACAAATATATAACTTGAAAACAGGGTTATCAAAATAAAACAACACCCTGTCAACTACTAGGCTCAAATGTATCAAGGTATATGCATACATCATTAAACTACAGATAAGAAGGTCCATTGTGTAAAAACACTTCAAAACCAAAATCTACTACAGGACAAAGAGTCACTAAGGTACGAGATTCAGCTAAGGAAAAAATAAAATAATAAAGAATTTGCCAAAATTCTCAACAGATTTTTTTTAAAAAGTCTTACCTTGTCATTGGTGTCCAGCACAATGGTGCTATGTCTCCACTTTGTCAATACTATTGGTTCTTGTAGCCGCCTGTCCAGGCTCCTACTTTTAATTATTTCTCTTTGTTGCTGAGATGAAACATTATACTAAAGAAAAAAATATACTTCATAAATAATAGAAACAAAACTAAAATCTAAATATGCCAGCCCCCAATGACACATGAAGTAAGGCACAGTTCATCATATGACACTAACATGACTTTTCTGTCCTTGGTTTTCTCATCTGACCAGCATGTTGGTATTAGAGGGACCAAGTAAATGTTATCTTTGGCAAAATATTAAATCTTCCTAAGTCTAAGTTTCATCAACTGTGAAACAGATATAATAGGAATATCTAGTTCACAGAGTTGACATGAGGATTAAACTAAGTATAAAAGGTAGCAAATACTGACCTGATAGTAGGTTCTCAATAAATACTAGTTACCATCTACTATACATATAAAAGCCTAAGCGACCGAACAACCGGTCAAGCAGTCGCTATGACATGCACTGACACCAGGGGGCAGACGCTGAATGCAGGAGCTGCCCCCTGGTGGTCAGTGCACTCCCATAGCCAACCTCCGGCGGCCCCTCCCCCTGCTGGCCAACCTCCTGTGGCCCCGATTGCTGGCCAGTCCAAGGGACCCCACCAGTGCACAATTTTGTGCACTGGGCCTCTAGTAATTTCTCAAATGTGGTCATTGGACAAATTAACTTTTTAGGGTTTCTGCTACTTCTAAAATATACATGAATTCAATTTTTGGTGTAGGTTATAAACAACTAGAGGCCCGGTGCACAAAAATTTGTGCACTCGGGGGGGTCCTTCAGCCGGGCCTATGCCCTCTTGCAGTCTGGGACCCCTCAGAGTATGTCCATCTGCTGGCTTAGCCCCGCTCCCTGGGGGATCGGGCCCAAGCTGGCAGTCAGACATCCCTCTGGCAGCCCGGCAGCCTTCGGGGGATGTCCACTTGCCAGCGGGGAGCAGGCCTAAGCTGCGGTCGGACATCCTTAGCACTGCTGAGGAGGCTAGAGAGGCTCCCACCACCACCGCTGTACTGGCAGCCGTCAGCCTGGCTTGTGGCTGAGCAGAGTTCCCCTTGTGGGAGCGCATTAACCACGTCTGCCCCCTGATGGTCAGTGTGTGTCATAGTGACCAGTCATTCCCAGTCGTTTGCCCTGAAGGGTGTCCCGGATCAGGGTGGGGGTCCCGCTGGGGTGCCTGGCCAGCCTGGGTGAGGGGCTGATGGCTGTTTGCAGGCTGGTCACACCCCTTTCAGGATGGGGGTCCCCACTGGGGTGCCTGGCCAGCCTGGGTGAGGGGCTGATGGCTGTTTGCAGGCTGGTCACACCCCTTTCAGGATGGGGGTCCCCACTGGGGTGCCTGGCCAGCCTGGGTGAGGGGCTGATGGCTGTTTGCAGGCTGGTCACACCCCTTTCAGGATGGGGGTCCCCACTGGGGTGCCTGGCCAGCCTGGGTGAGGGGCTGATGGCTGTTTGCAGGCTGGTCACACCCCTTTCAGGATGGGGGTCCCCACTGGGGTGCCTGGCCAGTCTGGGTGAGGGGCTGAGGGCTGCTTTCAGGCTGGCCAAGCCCCCGGGCAACGGAAGCTCCCAGCCTCTCCTTTTTTTCTTTTCTTTTTTTATTCTGGGATTTATTTACCTTCTATAATTGAAACTTTGTTGCCTTGAGAGGGGTTCAGAGCCAGCCAGGGTGTGCAGGAGAGAAGCCTCCTGCTTGCTCCAGCTCCGTGGCCACGGCCAGCTGAAAGCAGGTATCTGGGGTTTATTTATCTTCTATAATTGAAACTTTGTTGTTTGAGTGGAGGAGCTCAGAGCCAGGCCGCGGCAAATGGGAAGCTTGGCTTCCTCCATCATTGGGGCAACCAAGCCTCCTGCTTGCTCCAGCTCCATGGCTGCCGGCCGCCATCTTGGTTGAGTTAATTTGCATATAGTCACTCTGATTGGCTGGTGGGTGTGGCTTAGCAAAGGTATGGTCAATTTGCATGTTTGTCTTTTATTAGTGTAGATTCTTACATACACTATAAAAGTATTCTCATATTTAAAGAAAATTTTGTTCATTTGTTATTACTTTTGTTTCACTTATAAGCCAAATACACTATTCTTTCTTTCTCTGAAGAGGTAAAATATAACCAGGTCAAAAGGTAGAGATGGTCCTAATTCTAAATCAATCCTATATCAGTTGTGTACAACAGATAGGTAATAACTGCCCAAGAAAATTGTATATAAAATTAAAAAAACATTATCAATAAGGCATTAAGTCATTTAAGTTTTTGAAATGTCAAGCATAAACATTTGAGAAATGTGAGGTTTAAGAGGTATGCTGTTTTATACAGGCAATTTAGTAAATAATAAATTGTAATAAAATAACGAAATCTGCTTTTTTAAGAGATACCTTCTTCTACTGAAACCAAAAGATACCTAGTATATCTATTACCCCCACCCCTAAAAGCCCAGTAAATCTTGATACTGATTATAATTTCAATAAAAGTATCTTTGGGGATGTTTTTAATACTAAAAACTCTTCCAACATTTTTCTCCACTATATGCCATTTATTTTCTCTCCAAAATGAGTCCCTACAGACCCTTCTAAAACTGTCTCCCAAAGCTCTTACTTTATTTTTCACATTAAAATTTGCCGAAGCCAGACAATCACATGTGGGTGTTTGTTTTTAATTCACTGTTGCTTAATCTTAACATTTATCACAATTCACAAATGGGGTCATTTCTAAAATAAACAAAGAAGGTTAAAGACTGCCAAAAAATTCTGTGCCAGCCTGGCCAGAGTGGCTCAGTGGTTGAACACTGACCTATGAACCAGGAGGTCACACTTAGTTCCAGGTCAGGGCACATGCCCGGGTTGTGGGCTCAGTGTTGGTGTGCAGGAGGCAGCCAATCAATGATTCTCTCTCACCACTGATATCTCTCTCTCTCTGTCTCTCTCTCTCTCTCTCTCTCTCTCTCTCCCTCCCTCCCTCCCTCCCTTCCTTCCTTCCTCTCTGAAGTCAATAAAAATATATTTTTTTAATTCTGTGCCAGAAATCTTTAAGTGAAAAGAGACCCAATTATTAAACAAGGCTATATTTTCCCTTCAATCATTGTCAGCAATAATGAAAATGAATAGTTGTATGAAAACTTATATATGAATTTAATTGTTACCTCCCCTAGTTTTTGACCTTTATAATTACCACAACTGTTTAAAAATCCTTTCTATGTGGCAACAAAAATAATGTAATATTAACCTGGGTAATAATCACAATTTTAAATGTGTTAATTGTTTTACTAGGCAACAGTATGTTAATAAAAGCCAATAAAAAGCATAAATGAAACATATAATCTAGTGTAGACAAAAATGAAGTGTCACAATTAGAGAAAAGAAAAATAGGAAGACCCCACAGTTACACACACTCTTAATTAAACAAGATGACAAAAACTATTTTCTAATCCTTTTAAAATTACCCTTATGTTTAAAATTTTAACTGAATTTTTATTTGAATTATTTCAAACATATACAAGACTATAGACAATAATGAAAACCTACCATTGAGCTTTAGCATATCTAACATAAGACAGTTGCTTCAGCTACTTTTTTTTTTAAACAAAACATTACAGACCTATTAAAGGTTCTGAATATTGCTTCCAGATTCCATTCCTCTCTCTCCCTCCCCAGTAGTAACACATAATTCAATTTTCATTATTATCATGAAGTTTGTAATTTGATACATACTTAGCTATATGTATAAAAGCCTAATATGCAAAGTGTCCCCTCGGGAGTTCGACCAACCAGGAGTTCGATCACTCGCTATGACATGCGCTGATGAAGTAAAGCCCGGCCGGCAGCTGGCAGCCAGGGAAGGGAGGCCCCAATCAACGGCCAGAAGCCGCTAGGGACCCTACCCGTGCACGAATTTTGTGCACTGGGCCTCTAGTATGTATATATGCACACATTTAAAAAAATCTATCTGAAGGGTAAATGTTATTTCATTGTTTTAATTCACATTTTCCTGGTCACTTGTAAAACTGAGTATCTTTTCATGTATCATTTCATGTTATTTCCTCTTCTGTGCATTGCTTAGTCATGTATTTTGCCTATTTGCAGCTAGGTTATCTTTCTCTTACTGGCATGTACAAAAAGAAATAGGATGTTCTCTATTCTTGGGATTCTAAACCTTTGTAAATTATGTGAATTAAATACATCTTTTCCTAGTCTGTAGCTCATCTTTTCTCCTTCGTGTATTGTATTTTTTGCATTAGAAGACACTTGTTTAATTTTGATGTAGTCATATCTGTCAATTTTGCCTTTCATAGTTTTACTTTATATAATCTTCTTTAAGAAATTCTTCCTACTCTGTAGTCAAAGATATTCTTTATAGATATATCCTTCTATAGCCTTTAAAGTTTGCTTATTATAGTTACAGTAGGGACCCAGTACATGAAA